ATGTCAGCAATATCACGGCGGGGGACACGAGAAATGGGCTTCACATACTGTGCCCATGTCAGGAATAGAACCCAGATCTTCGGCGTGTCGAGCGAACGCTTTAACCTTTTGGCTACCCGACCGCAAACTTTGATCCAGAGGATCAACACTGCGCCAATAAAGTGTGTAGCATTCCTACCTAAAGCGCACATGTGTTACCCATTAGATAAAACAAATTTTAATTTGCGTATGGTACCTTCAGAATCAGGAGTGAGAATATGGCACATTTTAGTTCACACATTTATGTAATATAAAAGGAGAAAAAACAACCTATTATGACAACAAAACTTGTAAGATATTTTCACAACAATGACCTCCTGAAACATTTGTTATTGTTGTTAAGGAACATGGGGTATTAAGTTGACACAAGCATAGTGGTATGCATAATACTGTTGACATTGATAAACGGTTGTGATCGAAAACCGGACAGCTTCGCGAAAGATTCAAACACGTAATAAAAAAATTAAAACATAAATATTCATATCGTTATGTTACATTGTTGGCGGAATGTGTTTTCTAATCATGCAATCTCTAAAGTTTAACACAAAACGACTGTTACGGATTATATGACTTATTCAAAATACTTTAAAAAGCATAGTCTGGAATGGAAGTCGCAAGTTTGAAATTGGTACCGTAAAGCTTAAGAAAGCTGCCTTCTAAGTGGCTAACGTTGACTTCCTGTTAGTCATTTTATTGGCAGGTCATAGTTCGCGAAAGGTTGTTCTGACGTTCAGCTACCAGCCGATTCGTCTCACATCAAAACACAGGCTGTGTACTCGCTGGTCACTGTGTCGGATTAATTATATAACGAGACTGATTAATGAGTGATTTCTGTAATTCGTTTGCAAATTAGCTGTGTCGGAGTCGGAGTGCGAGACTGTCGGATTAACGGGTCTAAATAGCACTGATTTAATCGGTTCCCATCATTAGTGTCGGATAAAGCCGATTGTCGGATTAACGAGACTTGACTGTATATACAGTTGTAAAGTTATTAATATTTGTTCTTAATTAATCTTTTTAAAGTAATAGCTGTTGTAATATTATCTTATAATGAAGTAGATCTGCACATGGATACATGCAGGTATTGTTAAAATTGACCTCCACAACTTTGTGAGAGCACTTTTCAATTTTAACCATGAACCATATAAGGTAACTTTTCACCGCAGTGAAATGCTGTATTGGGAAATAGGTCGGATAGAGCTAGACTGGTACCCTGCCCGTCGCCTCCCAGCGGCTGCAGGCGAGGAGCGCAAACGCTCTAGGGCAGGTAAACCAGTCTAGGAGAGGACGTGGCTCCCTGATATGGTTTTTGCTGAATAACATAAACATGTTTAGCGTTATACTCTACAGTTAGGAATGTAATACAAATTATTTTCAGAATTATTTATGTATTTAGTATGTACACATATCATAATTCACTCGAAAGACAAAGATAAAGTTCCTCTTAAAAGTTTGGTTACGTCTTTCCAACGATCACTCATCCCCATGGCACAGTACAGGCCTCCATGTAATTTTCACCAATAAAGCACGGCGCCTGGCGCTGTGCAATAAAGACGTTTCAAGAAAATCGTTAAATATGTTATTGAATAAAGTAACAAATAAAATCCACAATAAATATTGGCGCCATCTCCATCTTTTCGAGCGATCGTGTAATGAAAGTCAAATGACATCTCGGCATTTTTCGCCTCGATTTCATACTACAGTAAACTACGGTTATAACGAACACGCTTATAACGAACTAACGGATATAACGAACTAACTTTTTAATCCCGACTATATGCTGTAGTTATGCTGTATATATGCTTATAACGAATTACAGTTATAACGAACTTAAATTAGTAGTCCCTTTGAGTTCGTTATAACCGTAGTTTACTGTAATACAATTGCTGTTTTTCTTTTGAATTTAGTGACATTTCGATGAAGATTCTGACACCGTTATCAAGCTGTTTTCTTGTTGAAATACAATAAACTACGTTTATAACGAACACGCTCATAAAGAATTGACGGAAATAACGAACTTACCTTTTTTTTGTCCCGACCATTTGCTGTACATGTGCTGTATACGCTTATAACAAACTAATGACGAACTAAAATTAATGATCCCTTTGAGTTTGTTATAGCCGTAGTTTACTGCACATCATACAAGAGGACGATAGCTATTGCTGTTATTGTGACTGCATTAGGTCGCGTGGTTAAATTTGACCAATCACTAATACTAGATAGCGTCATTAGAAAGCAATATCTACCCATTAAAATCTCCTGTTACAACTACATAAATACCCCTAGCGAGTATCAAAGGAATGTTCGCGCGTGTTAATCCTACACAGCTTCGAAAACGGACGTATTTCAGGTATTGTCTCATATTACTCAACGAAAAGCGATTATTATCGCGAAATATTTGATGATAGACAATTAAATTTCTTTTTATCGATTACTTAAAGGATAATTATTTTTTTCAAAATAGCTAAGTGGATATTATGAAATCAATGAAAATTGTTCCAGCAAGCATTGGTTGTCTTCACGGATTGTCTGGCTAGTAACTTTTAAGGCCAACAACCCCATACTGGCCAGCAATACTTTGATACTATTTCACACGCCGCTTCACTCTAATGGCAAAGTCAACTTCCTCACTCTATAGTTTGCATGTTTGTTGAATACAATCTATACACGCACAAACACGAAGCCACACGCAAGGCATATATATATACAGGAATGCTGAAGGAAATTCAGGCTACTCACAATAGACTCCAATATTTCGCATCCAGCAGTGCACATTACCAGGAAACATTATTCAGTGGGTAACACTTCCTTTTGATAATGTTCGACAAAGGGTCATGATGACACGAAATGAGAGAACATGTGACACTCACACCAGTCTTGCCGTCAGCCCTCGCACGGAGACTCATCAATTACATTGTATTTATATAGATTTTTCTCAATGCTATTGACTACTCGCTAATGGGACGCATGCTTAATAATAGAATAAATAATAATAATGCATTTGTTTGTTGTGTCAATTTGGTTTACTGGCCACCGCAGTGTTTCATTTATATCCCGGCGTGTCAGCTGTATGCGGATTGAAAGAAGCATGACGATCAGACAAGACTAACATTTACTCCCAGAATTAAAGTTGTCTTATTTATAAATACATATCTAAAAAATACAAAATAAAATACAAAATAGAGCCCAGAACAATGCTAGAGCTGAGGCAGTCTAGACTTGCCAAATCTTTCCAGAATTGAGTTCAATTCCTTTTTTAAAAAAAAAATTCTTTAAAGTCTGGGATGCAGACTAGAGACTTGGTACAAACCTAGAAATATAGTCAGGGCAAATCAGAACGTCCAAGGGACTCATATCAACTCTGCACAGTGGCGTTGAATACGACTAGACCAACTGTTGTTGTTTTTACTCATTATCGCTTTGAAAAAGCGTGTTTTCAGATGCGTCCGTATATGCTATATTTTATTGATGATTTACGGTAATTGTGTCTGTAGTAGATATGGTGACGTACATGTACGTTAAACATAATGCACAAGATACACAACAAATCGTACAGTAAATATTGACAAACTATTATTAGCGATGATTTTGTTAAAAAAACAGTTATGGAGCATCAAGAACACCCTCGCACCATACCGTTATTAACATTGTATCAATTACGGTACATATGCTGTTCATTTTCATTACAAACATGACAGGTGGTGTTATAAATTTACTGACATGTTGATTCTGTCAGATAGATATTTTCAGACCTTTTAATCCCCCAGCCCTCAACACACTATCCTTAACAACTACAAACAAACCGAAAGTTCAGGAACACGCCCCTTCCCGAGGCAAGCGTGTCCCCCAGTACATACCAAGGCCTAGTTTCTACGCTTTGATACATGGCTGTGGACACTCTTGCCTCGGGAGATATCGTATACGGGCGTATTTGAAAAGTACAATAATGTAAAATATGTAAAATAATGTTTTAAACTGCGTGGGTGAAATATGGTTGTACATAACGCTACATAAACACGACATGTTTTTGGTCGAGTCGCGTCACAGCTACCGTATATTCTCTCATTAACGTATGTAACGTTATCGCTTTCAGACATGCTCTTGACCAACCGTCAGGCCCAAAATTTGTTATTTTTCCAACTTTTATTGCTGTCAGTGTGTGTCGACTTATGAAAATAGCAAACTTCGACATGTTTTCTAAGGCCAATCGTAAGAGGCTTGCTTCACTGGGCTACAGTGTAGATCCGGGCTAGAATTGATCTTGAGCAACCCGTGCTTGTCGAAAGAGGCGACTAGCGGGATCAGGTGACTTGGGTGAAACATGTCCTTAAATTCTAATTGTGGAGATCCATGCTCATGATGAATTGCGAAGATCGATGCTCATGTTATCAATCACTAGCTAGTCTGGTCCAGACTATTTACAGATCGCAGTCATATAATTGGAATATTGTTGAGTTGTTGTTAAACAACAAACAAAAACAAACATAAGGCCGATCAGAGCGTTATCCTACATTTAATCGAGGATTTACGGTAATTCATTATGACATCCCAGGCAACATAGAGAGCACGTTACTCGGATCCAGTGGGTGGGTGTGTATATGTGGGTTCATCTTTTAAGCGTACAAGTCATAATGACGTATAAAAACATATTTTTTTAAAATTAAATCAATTTTAAACAAATATAACACTTAATTTATGAATGTTGGGCTTCTACATCTTGGAATTATATTATATTATATTATATTATATTATATTATATTATATTATATTATATTATATTATATTATATTATATTATATTATATTATATTATATTATATTATAAAATAATGAACTGTCGACATCAATATGCAGATACGCTTGCCCAAACATGCTCTTGTTTTGGATTCCTTCTGACAAAGAGGATAATTTTTAACCAGACATAAAGTTAACTCATAGCAATAAATAACAGTGATATCTTACCTTACATGAGAAACATTGACATAGGCCTGATATTCAAAACGTTCATAACGATGGATCACAGTTTATTCTGTCCGGGAATATCACAGCTTCCTGGTATATTCCCCTTCCTGGTATAGTTATAACTGAATAACGGACTGTTTCGCTTGTTAGCTCGCTACGTGTTGTTATGGAGAATTCGTTGAAAACGAGTATGTTACCATGGACAGAAAGGCGATATTCAGCATTGGACTAGTGTTTGCCTATCGTTCTACCGATCTTAATGGCTGAACACAATAGTGTAGTGTACGCACGTTACAACTGATTGCTGGTTGATATTACCTGGTTTATTTACTCACGCAATCGCCCAACGCATTTCTAGGGTTAAATGATTTCCGTACTGTATTCGTACAAATTACAAGTACATAAACAGTGATCTCTGTCTGCTTCATGTTAAGGCATGGAGCTCAACCACTTTATCAACCAACCCCAATGCCACCCCACACACCCACGCCACATCCTCAGCCCACCCAACATCTCCACCCACAGCCTCACAAGCCACTCCGGCCCCACACCCTGAACTCACTACACATCCCCACAGTATACTTGCTCCGAGCCTACCAGTCCTTGTTTTAGCCCTTTAATGCCGAGCGCCAGACAGGGTAACAACAAGTACCATCTTTAAACATCTTTTGGTATGTCGCAGGAATAAAGGCCTTATGGCCAATAATAAGTCATATACTGATTAATATTAACCTGAGCAATGTACTAGGATTAATACATGCAATTAAACAGATATGGATATAACCAATGTGAATAAGTTAGCAACTGTTTATGATGTTGCTGTACTTTTAAGGAGATATACACTGGTCTTATGCAATATTTCATAATTTGGAATTTGGATACACGTTGGTGTTATATTTTTTCGAATACACGAAGTATTATATGATTCAAATACTAGCAAAATATGAAATTCATTTTCAATGTAATTTCTTTGGAGGAGAATCTTTCTTCAAAGGTTATGTCATAGTGTCTTCGCGTATTTACAGCCAGTTTAAAGGTCGATTATCCCAGAGCTGACTTTCCCGACTCCACTGGCGCATCACGTGCAAAGTTATGTCATGTGACATGGAGGTCGTGCACGCACATGTGCAGACGATGTCGCACCATCTGGGTATGTACTCTCACACCATGGCCAGTCGCCTGTTGCAACCGGTCCCTTATCTGAGTGGCAGTTTGCAACCGATATCTTGATGCTATCGTTCTGACTAAACTGTCCTTGGCTGGAATGTTGCCCTTAAGCGTCCAGAGCAGCGTTATGTGCTTGTTGGTATCAGGCCCACAATCTGCTGATGTCAGATTTAGAAACGTGCAGCGGATGGACAATACTATTATGACGTGTGCCCACCTGGAACATGCCCATGGCACGTTAACGTTCAGCGCGTTGCAAACGTCGAATGATCAATTCTGTTTCCTTCGCAATGATTGATATGTTTAATAAAGTGTCCTTGACCGTTTGGCTCCAAGAAAACAATAAATCATGCTTCTGCACACAACCGAGTCTGAGTGACAATAGTAAATCTGGCATACCATTCCTTGCACGTGCTGTCCGAGGTCACGTGCTTCACGACTATTTTGTGTTTGGAGTTTGATTTCTTCTCGTTAAATATCAATCACTTACTTTTATTTTCCGACATTGGTTTATTTTCCTATTGTTTCAACTCAACACAACACACTAGAATACCGTATTTAGTTACCTGACCAAATTGTTCATAACTTTTAAATAGATATGGAGACACACGGGAACCCTTCCAAACTCATCATGTACCCTTGCGTTTTGTGTGCTGGACTTTCGCCAGACTATTTACATTTTACATATACCTTTTCAATATCATCAAAATGTTCCAGGACCCAAAAACCTGATCCATACAATAGAATCGGTCTTATTTTTGTATCAAATATTAATCATCATATTGTCCAAAACTATAAGACTTTTTAATATGCCTACTACCTTTGTTTTGGCAATACAAGTGTACGTGTATTATTTGACAAAGAGTATCTACTTATAAGATATACACCTACGTATTTATAAAATGAAACAACTTCATCGGGTTTTCTTTTATAATGCCATTTTGTTCTTTTATTTAAACGTTACCACCATTTAAAAAAAAGTACAACCTCTTTTGTCTATTTTTACCCTACGAGGGGGCACGGGTGGCCCAGTCGTCTAAGGCGCCGCGATTCGCTGTGCAGAGTTGCGTCCCTTGGCCAAGCCAGAAACCTATGATTGTGGGTTTCGAATCCCGGTTCGCCCCAATAATGTTTCTAGGTTTGTTAACACCATACCCGTCCTCGTGGGTTCACCGAAGTGGTAAACGTCTAAAACCTGCATCACTTTGGGCTTTCCTCCCATATTAAGCTGACACGCCGTGATAAGACTGGAATACTGTTAAAAGCGGCGTTAAACCCAACTCACTCACTCACTCATTTTACCCTACGAGTACAGCGTTGAGTACAGTGATTTATGCTGTACTAATAAATACAGACATGACGGTGGCAGCGTAATGATGTGGGGTATTTTTTTCAAAACAAACCTAGTGCTGTGTGCCGTGACAACCCAAAGTTATTCTGATGAAATCCTACGGCGAACAGAGTTCTCATTTTCTTGATATTGGCATTCTTCATATTGTCCAAGTGTGCAGGGAGTATATATACGAGGGGTGTTCATTAAAGATTTCCCCTAAACCACTTAGGGTTATCATATTTGGTTGAAATTTCACATGTGTAATGATACATGTATCTATGGGTTATGTCTGAATTTGCAGCACCGACCTATTAATCTTAACACTTTTACAGGTGTTATGATCGATTAGGGTGTGACAATGGAGCCAGTAGAATACCGAGCAGTGATTAGGTTTTTATATTTGAAAGGTCGCACACCAAAAGAAACTTTCGATGAAATGAAAGCAACTTATGGGGAAGATGCACCATCATATGACGTTGTTAAACACTTAGCACAAGATGTCAAGATCAGTGTAGGGTCTGTGGAAAAAATCATCAATGACAATTTGAACATGCATAAGGTGTCTGCACGATGGATTCCCAGGTTGCTCACACCTTTCCAAAAGCAGGAACGAGTCAATTGCTCAAAGGATCTTTTGGACATGTGCCAAAAAAAACAGGCAAACTTTTTTGACAGACTTATCACACAGGATGAAACATGGGTCCATCAGTATGATCCTGAGACTAAAGTTCAGTCGATACAATGGAAGTATGTGGAGTCACCACCCCCAAAGAAGGCACGTGTCCAACCCTCTGCAGGCAAGGTCATGCTCACGGTGTTTTGGGACCAGCACGGAGTAGTGATGATGGATTTCTTGGCAAAGGGTACCACAATTACAGGAGCTTATTATGCTTCACTGCTGCGGAAATTGCGGGACGCTATCAAGCTTAAGAGGCGTGGCATGCTGACCAAGGGTGTCCGTCTCCTGCAAGACAATGCTCCAGTACACAACTCCCATGTTGCCCAGACAGAAGCGCGGCCCTGTGGCTATGAAATCCTTCCACATCCTCCTTACTCTCCTGACCTTGAACCATCTGACTTCCACCTCTTTCCAACCATGAAGTCATTTTTGAAGGGAAAACGTTTCACAGATGATGAAACACTGATTTCTGAAGTCAAGTCCTGGTTTGAGACGCAAAATGAGGACTTTTACAAGCGAGGTCTCCATAGCTGCATAAAACGGTGGGAGAAGTGTGTAACTCTTGGTGGTTCCTATGTGGAGAAAGACTAATACCTATGCCAAGTTTCATTCCACTACGTCCATCGGAAGTGGGTCAGGGGAAATCTTTAATGAACACCCCTCGTACGTCTTATATATTCCTTGAGTTAAATATAAGTTACATATATATAGATAGATATTCACAGCGCTGCCCAATACAAACTATAACAGCAGCTGGGCTATTATTACTATGGCCAACAGCACGGAGTCATGTGCAGGTCAGTGACTCCTAATTAGCGCAAGACTATGGCCGGTGGACCAATGAAGCTTGACATTGTGGATGAGGTGCGGGATACTGCAGGCTGACGAGAGAGGTATCGTATTCGATACGTGGCAGCTGGTCAGTGAAATTAGTATACTTTCTGTAAGTCGGGACTTGACCTTCGGACAGCGGCTTGGCAGGTTGGCTCTCTGACGCCTCTGATAAGCTGCCTGGCCATGTCTGTCCCATTACCACAATCGTGATTATACAGATGCTGCAATTATTATATGACAAATAAAGTGTTGTGGACCCACGGATGGACCCCTGTATTTGAAGGACAGATATCCCAACCGTAACAGCACGGGATACTTATTATGAGAGATATCCAGTATGATCCTATGTATCCGCTGTCCTATATTTCACAAATGGCGTCTGAGCAATATCGCCAGGTCGCCATATCGTAGTATCGCAATGTCGCCCTATCGCCATTTTGCCGTATTGCGTTACAATATCGCAATGTCGTGTCGTGATGTCGCAATGTCGTGTCGTGTTTCGCCATGTCGGTTCGTATAATCGTGGAACTACAGGATCGACAGTCATACTGAAGTCTCACATGTAGGAACTATAGGGTCGACAGTCAAAATGTAGTCTCACATGTGGGATCTATAGGGTCGACAGTCATACTGTAGTCTCCCGTGTAGGATCTATAGGATCGACAGTCATACTATAGTCTCACATGTAGGAACTATAGGATCGACAGTCATACTGTAGTCTCACATGTAGGATCTTTAGGGTCGACAGTCATACTGTAGTCTTTTATGTAGGATCTATAGGGTCGGCAGTCATACTATAGTCTCACACGTAGGAACTATGGGTCGACCGTCATACTATAGTCTCACATGTAGGAACTACAGGGTCGGCAGTCATACTATAGTCTCACATATTGGAACAACAGGGTCGGCAGTCACAGTGTAGTCTCATATGTAGGAACTATAGGGTTGACAGTCATACTGTAGTCTCACATATTGGAACAACAGGGTCGACAGTCACAGTGTGGTCTCATATGTAGGAACTATAGGGTTGACAGTCATACTGTAGTCTCACATATTGGAAAAAAAGGGTCGACAGTCACAGTGTAGTCTCACATGTAGGAACTATAGGGTTGACAGTCACAGTGCAGTCTCACATGTAGGAACTATAGGGATGACAGTCATACTGCAGTCTCACATGTAGGAACTATAGGGTCGACAGTCACAGTGTGGTCTCATATGTAGGAACTATAGGGTTGACAGTCATTCTGTAGTCTCACATGTAGGAACTATAGGGTTGACAGTCATACTGTAGTCTCACATATTGGAACAACAGGGTCGACAGTCACAGTGTGGTCTCATATGTAGGAACTATAGGGTTGACAGTCACAGTGTAGTCTCACATGTAGGATCTATAGGGTTGACAGTCACAGTGTGGTCTCATATGTAGGAACTATAGGGTTGACAGCCATACTGTAGTCTCACATATTGGAACAACAGGGTCGACAGTCACAGTGTGGTCTCATATGTAGGAACTATAGGGTTGACAGTCATACTTTAGTCTCACAAATTGGAACAACAGGGTCGACAGTCACAGTGTGGTCTCACATGTAGGATCTATAGGATCGACAGTCATACTGTTGTCTCACATGTAGGATCTATAGGATCGACAGTCATACTGTTGTCTCACATGTAGGATCTATAGGATCGACAGTCATACTGTTGTCTCACATGTAAGATCTATAGGGTCGGCAGTCATACTATAGTCTCACATGTAAGACCTATAGGGTCGACAGTCATACTGTTGTCTCACATGTAAGATCTATAGGGTCGACAGTCATACTGTTGTCTCACATGTAGGATCTATAGGATCGACAGTCATACTGTTGTCTCACATGTAAGATCTATAGGGTCGACAGTCATACTGTTGTCTCACATGTAAGATCTATAGGGTCGACAGTCATACTATAGTCTCACATGTAAGATCTATAGGGTCGGCAGTCATACTGTTGTCTCACATGTAAGATCTATAGGGTCGACAGTCATACTGTTGTCTCACATGTAAGATCTATAGGGTCGACAGTCATACTGTTGTCTCACATGTAAGATCTATAGGGTCGACAGTCATACTGTTGTCTCACATGTAGGATCTATAGGGTCGACAGTCATACTGTTGTCTCACATGTAAGATCTATAGGGTCGACAGTCATACTGTTGTCTCACATGTAAGATCTATAGGGTCGACAGTCATACTATAGTCTCACATATAGGATCTATAGGGTCGGCAGTCATACTATAGTCTCACATGTAAGATCTATAGGGTCGACAGTCATACTATAGTCTCACATATAGGATCTATAGGGTCGACAGTCATACTGTTGTCTCACATGTAAGATCTATAGGGTCGACAGTCATACTATAGTCTCACATGTAGGAACTACAGGGTTGACAGTCATACTGTAGTCTCACATATTAAAACAACAGGGTCGACAGTCACAGTGTGGTCTCATATGTAGGAACTATAGGGTTGACAGTCATACTGTAGTCTCACATATTGGAAAAAAAGGGTCGACAGTAACAGTGTGGTCTCATATGTAGGAACTAAAGGGTTGACAGTCATACTGTAGTCTCACATGTAGGAACTAAAGGGTTGACAGTCACAGTGTGGTCTCACATGTAGGAACTATGGGGTCGACAGTCATACTGTAGTCTCACATGTAGGAACTACAGGATCGACAGTCATACTGTAGTCTCACATGTAGGATCTATAGGGTCGAAAGTCATACTGTAGTCTCATATGTAGGAACTATAGGGTTGACAGTCATTCTGTAGTCTCACATGTAGGATCTATAGGGTCGGCAGTCATACTGTTGTCTCACATGTAGGATCTATAGGGCCGACAGTCATACTGTAGTCTCACATCAGGGATCTATAGGGTCGGCAGTCATACTATAGTCTCACAAGTGGGATCTACAGGGTCGGCAGTCATACTATAGTCTCACATATAGGATCTATAGGGTCGGCAGTCATACTATAGTCTCACATATAGGATCTACAGGGTCGACAGTCATACTATAGTCTCACATATAGGAACTATAGGGTCGACAGTCATACTATAGTCTCACATATAGGAACTATAGGGCCGACAGTCATACTATAGTCTCACATGTAGGATCTATAGGGTCGGCAGTCATACTATAGTCTCACATATAGGAACTATAGGGTCGACAGTCATACTGCAGTCTCACATGTAGGAACAACAGGGTCGACAGTCATACTATAGTCTCACACGTAGGAACTATAGGGTCGGCAGTCATACTGTAATCTCATATGTAGGATCTATATGATCCACAGTCAAAATGTTGTTTTAAATGTAGGATCTATAGGGTTGACAGTCATACTGTAGGCTCAAATGTAGTAACTACATGTATATTGTATATACGGGCAATTTCGCTGAGAAAGGAATCATTCAAATTAACGTTAATGAAAGGCTTTACAACACGTGTGTGGCGTTAATCAATGTTCACTCATCCACTCACACATGTACAAACAGATGCTTTAGCCGTGATCGCTGTAATCTACTTTAACCCATTTAACAAACAGGATATCATGGTCTGTGCGGGGCTGTTTCCTGTTTCAAACTCATGATTGAAGGAGGATGTACACAAGCGGTAATGTGTGGCCATGGCATTACAACATTTATTGACTCTGCATTAGGAATCGGTCGGCAGAACCTTCGGCAAAAGTGGGGCGTTAATCTAGTGGTTAAAAATCCCATGTTCGATTCTCCATACTCAACTACTCACTCACAAACCCGGCCAAAAAAAAAATACTTCTAATTCTGAGTTTATCAATTTCTCATGTCAATGGAGAAATGAGTAAATATGATTGAATAAAACCAATATGCGGTACGTGTAAGTGCATATCTGGTTGGTTTGTTGTTAAACGCCATACACAGCAGTATTCAAACCTGGCAATCCATTGCTAAAGCTTGTAGTATGTATAACATCCTACCCTGTCCGGTAGGATCCGACACCAATCACCTGATCGAAATACTCCCCCTTTTCGACAAGCATCGATTGGGACAGTCTACAACTGTCATGGTTCGGTGTTCACCGTCCCTGTTTTCATAACCGACTTCTGAAAGTTTGACAAAGCGTCTACCGTTTCGTATTCAATAACTCCATACCTTCGAAATATATCTTTATGTTGTTTTTTTCTCATGTCATTCTGCTCAAAAACAGATTCCCACGTCGTGTCAGCTTGATATGTGGAGGTAAGGCAAACGTTACGGATGTCTTAGACGAGTATAGTTTTGACGTACAAAAGTAATCAGGGGTAATCTCGGATTCGAAGCGACGCTAAGCGGATCCTGGCACGACTAAGGGACATAAATGTGCATACCGAGTTGCAGCCCATCAGTGTTCATAGTCATAGATGTTTCTCTCTTTCTCTGTTATTTAACGCCACACTCACCAATATTCCAGCTGTATGACGGCGGTTTGTAAATAATCGAGTCTGGACCAGACAATCCAGTGATTGACATCATGAGCATCGATTCACGCAATTGGGATGCGATGACATGCATCAACCAAGTCAGTGAGCCTGACCACCCGATCCCGTTAGTCGCCTCTTACGACAAGCATAGTCGCCTTTTAATTCATAGATATATTCATAGATGGAGAAACCACACGAATACCAAAACTCACACAGCTGTCGATTTGCTGTTACTGGTGCTATTACCAATACGGTACACGTCTACGTTTTGTCAATCCCACATGGAATAACACTATACATAGTTTATTGCAATTGTTATCGATCACTGCCTGTGAAATACATTTCAATTTGTCATCCATGTTGTGCTCTTAACTTATATTGTATTCAATCGTATTGCTATGGGTCCATAATACTGTTACTTGATTTGTCTAGATGTCCATGCCTCGTATATTATCTCGAATATACTGATGTTGTACAAGCATGGAGTCCAAGAGCTGTATCAATTGAGCATCATCTCTCAGCATCCGTGACCTCTGGCTCCAGGGTATTTGTCATAATAAAGGATTACAAGCTATAGGTTCTGTTGCTCAGGAAGTAAATCTTTATGAATTCACTAAACGGACAAAAAGCTATGGTAGCTATCGCAGCACTGAGGTGGTCGCAACTTCAACACTTTAACATAGACTTACGTTGGTTGGTTGGTTTGTTGTTCAACGCCGCACTGAGCAATATTCCAGCTATATGACGGCGGTCTGTAAATAATCGAGTCTGGACCAGACAATCCAGTGATTAATATCATGAGCATCGATCCACGCAATTGGGATCGATGACATGCATTAACCACGTCAGCGAGCCTGACCACCCGATCCCGTTAGTCGCCTTTTACGACAAGCATAGTCACCTTTTACTGCAAGCATGGGTTGCTGAAGACCCCGGAATCTTCACGGGTCAACATAGACTTTGCGCTACGATCGCTTTGTGGAACGTGGCCCAGACATGTGAAACTTGTATGCCCAATCATTTAATGGTCTTCCAACTTTTGGTTTCTAAATGAAACAAATTTTGACAATGCGTATCTTGGATTCAGATGAATACGGTGCATTGTCACGTTGTTGTCGTAACGAAGGATCTAAGGGAGATAACTGTCAATTTATAAATTAGTTAGAGTTATGTCCCTTTCACCTGAGCGTAACTGATAAATTTGCGAAAGAAGTCAGCATTCGTTATATTACATTGTTGCAAGTGTTTTCATGTGTAAGTCTTTCAGATTTTAGGTATCATCATTGATAACTCCAATTGTATTGTGTGTCCAGGTCACATTTATCAGCAAGGTAATATGAACAAGAATTACTCATGCAGACGTATTTTTATTAAACGTCACCATTCGCTTCAATATCTCTTAACACGCAAATTAAAGGGAAGGGCGAGGGGGGGGGGGGGTTCAGATAAAAACATGTTTTTGGTCACTGGAAGCATAAAACCAAGGAAAGGACCTTCATCTTAGCGATTTAGCGTCAAGAGGCCCATTCTTTCTGTTTCACCAGCAAGAAGTAATTTAACACTTAATTGTTCAGGATTGTCCGGATTCAACGAAATGGTTATCTTTCCTTGCCTTGATTTTCGCCAACAGGTTTGAAGTATACGTTCGAATAGGGGACAATGACATATGTGACTCTGTGCAGTGATCTCATTCATTTGGTTACACGATGATAATATTGAAATATTGCTTTTAACGTTGCCCTTCTTCCTTCTTCGCCATGTCAGATGCAGTGATGTACGGAACTACCAAAACCGGGTTCGTCTGCACTTGATGCCCATGCAGGTGCAGGAGGTCGGAACGATGATTCTGTCGTTGACAATCCGCTGTCCCATAGGCCGATCCCCACAGAACGCCAAGACAGAGACAAACTTGAACACTCGGAGGCATCGGTTGGATAGCGCTGATCGACGATAGGTTAAACATCTGGTGGTCCTGAAAAATGAATTTTTAATTGTATGTTGATCGAGTTAATTCTAAAGTGTGTCAGCTGAGGGTAGACATTTACTATTTGATGAAACCCAGGGAGTGAGTGAGTGAGTGAGTATGGTTTTAAGCCGCTTTTAGCAATGTTCCAGCAATATCACGGCGGGGGACACCAGAAATGGGCTTCACACATTGTACCCATGTCGGGAATCGAACCCGGGTCTTCGGCGTGACGAGCGAACGCTTCAACCATTAGGCTACCCGACCGCCCCTGAAACCCAGGGACAAGGTGCTGACAGACCATTGATCATCATGTGTGAGAATCTAGGATTCAGACCAAAAATCCACCGACAATTTCACGGCTAGGGCGCGCAACTCTGCATAGGGCGGCCCGTGCTTCTTATAAAAAGTGGGGCGATCGGGTAGCCTAGTGGTTAAAGCGTTCGCTCGTCACGCCGAAGACCCGGGTTCGATTCCCGACATGGGTACAATGTGTGAGCCCATTTCTTGTGTCCCCCACCGTGATATTGCTGGAATATTGCTAAAAGCGGCTTAAAACCAAAGTCACTCACTCTTATAAAAAGTACATGACCCTGCCGAGGTGAGGTGAGGTGAAATTGGGTTTAACGTCGCGTCCACGATTACTGCACTTATATAGCGACGTGCATGCACGTGTGTGTGTGTGGCTGCTTGTACTAGTCCGGACTGATGCCGATTTATAGTGCTAGCTCACTGAGATACCATGCCGCAGTTTAACATGAATACCCCACTCAGACACAGTATACTGACTCCGAGCCGACCAGTCCTTGTTTTAGCCCCTTAATGCCGTGACCCTGCCGGAAATTTGGTACTTATCTTCCGACTAAGCCATACACCAGTCAATTATTCTTAGCGTGCAATCGTAAAAGATGGCCTTCGTTATGTTATTTCGACAGCAAGGGACCGACCATTATATAGTGGATATTGGTAGTGGTGGGTGAGGCAATGATTTTTATCGATTACAATGAATTGTCCAAGAAATTGCTTGGAACAATTATTTATGTTTCAAACTGTTGAAAAGAGATTATCAGCCACAAAATCTACACTGTTGCAAGATGATATTTTTTTATAAATATTTAGGCTCATAGTAATTAAAAAGATTATATCTAAACTAACTTTGATGCCTCTTATGTTGGGCGTTTTACTTTGTATTCAGGACCCACCATATACTTTGTTTGTTTGTTTGTTTGTTTGTTTGTTTGCTTAACGCCACAGCTATATGACGGCGGTCTGTAAATAATCGAGTCGAGACCAGACAATCCAGTGATTGACATCATGAGCCTCGATCTACGCAATTGGGATACGGACATGCATCAACCACGTCAGCGAGCCTGACCACCCGATCCCGTTAGTCACCTCTTACAACAAGCATAGTCGCCTTTTCCTGCAAGCACTGCGTGCGGCGTTAAACAACAAACCAACCAACAAACAAAACTATTATTACCCCGGTCAGTGCATTAGTGTGCATTCAATTTTATTCTCAGCTCCCACGGGAGTATACAATATTGCTTTTGAATTGCAACTAATTCTATCATCCAAAACTGGCTCCCACAGGAGATATCGCTTGGAAAGATCAAGCGATATCTACACTGTAGATATCATCAATTGCATCACAATGCTTTGCAGACCATTGTGACGTCATTGGTTACAATGACGTCATAATCAAATGACATAACTAATGGCCCTGCCACTGAAGCTGTAAGCAGTACTTTTTACACTTAAGACACTGCTTATTACTGTCTACAAACTGAAAAAGTTGTAAGAATGATGTTGGATGATAAATAAAATCTCACCCTCGTGTCTTTTGATATCAAACATATCAACACTCGTTGATAAAAGTGGAAAACATACTCGGCAAGCCTCGGAGTTTTCCCACTTTTATCAACTCGGGTTGTTATTTGATATCGAAATACACGAGGGTGAGATTCTCTATATCACCGCTAAAATTTACCTGCAGACAGCAAAGTGGATGAGCGGTTGGATGTTCCGTATGACCCAGCATGTGTCATTGTTATCGCCCGTGTAGCTCTGCAGCACCTTCAAGTCGGCTGGACAAAGGTCCTTGGTCACGTTGGCCAGTCTGAAACACCACACAGGGTTTAGTTAATGCGAACATCAGCTATCACCGACCTAGTTCTAACTGACTAGCATACTGGGTGGTGAGGTCGTCTAGTGGTTTAAGCGTCCGCTCGAAAACCCGAAGAACCGGGCTCGATTTTCCACATAGGTACAATATGTGAAGCCAATTTCTGGTGTCCCACGCCGTGATATTGCTACAAGCGGCGTAAAAACATACGCACTGGATAGGGATCTTCTCGCTTTTCTTAACACTGTGGGGTAGTCACTGAATGTGTGAGTTACTTGGGTGTAATGCCAGTTTGAACAGTATTCAAGTTATATCACGGCATGTCAGCTTGATGGTGGAGAAAAGGTTCAAGTGATGCAGGTGAACCCACGAGCATGATGCTGACGCCTATCGTAAGTTGTAGGTGCATAATAATACTTCTCTTATTATATTTGGTTAGATTTGTCATGGATGAGTGAGTGAGTGAGTATGGTTTTAAGCCGCTTTTAGCAATATTCCAGCAATATCACGGCGGGGGACACCAGAAATGGGCTTCACACATTGTACCCATGTCGGGAATCGAACCCGGGTCTTCGGCGTGACGAGCGAACGCTTTAACCATTAGGCTACCCGACCGCCCCTAAATTTGTCATGGATACGCCACTCAGACACAATATTAACACATAGCTGACCAGTACTTGTTTTATACCCTTAATGCCGAGCAACAGGGAAGGTAACAAGAGGTACCATCTTTTAACGCCATTTAGTATGAACCTCGGTTCTTCCGCTTTCCGGACAGGAGCTCTATCGACTCAGACTTGACGGCTGTCGTTGAACTAGTGGTACATATGGTAAGAGTGTGTCGGGACTGGACTGTGAGTTTGACACAACCGGATTCGACATATCCAAGTTCGAGACGACTGCGTTCGACTTAATTTGCAAAACGATACTTACACAGGATCCTCTGGAAATTTGGGGTCAGTTGACGAAGCGTTGAATAAACTGAGACATGGAGTTAGGTTCGCATCAGCAGTTTCGTTGTTGATAGCTTCCCTATCAAACAGACATCAAGATGACAATAAAAGAAATATATGTTTGAAACATGCAGGAATCAACTACTTAATTCAAATACAAAGAAGGTAATAAGTGAATGAATGCGTTTGTCAGTTGTAGTTATGACCTGTAACAGGACCTTCAGCTGATCTCGATTGAGGAAATCAACACGCATATATTGCAAAACGGAGATTACAAATACATCTCAGGATATCTCAGCTACCAGGGCCCATGCACTGTAATGGAGATTGCTGAATATCTCAGCTACCAGGGCCTATGCACTGTAATGGAGACCGCAGGATATATCAGCTACCTGGGTCTATGCACAGTACTGGAGACTGCAGGATATATCAGCTACCATGGCATATGCACTGTCATGGAGACTGCAGGATATCTCAGCTACCATGGCATATGCACTGTCATTGAGACTGCAGGATATCTCAGCTACCATGGCATATGTACTGTAATGGAGACCGCAGGATATATCAGCTACCAGGGCCCATGCACTGTACTGGAGACCGCAGGATATGTCAGCTACCATGGCCCATGCACTGTAATGGAGACTGCAGGATATCTCAGCTATCATGGCATATGTACTGTGATGGAGACTGCAGGATACATCGGCTACCATGGCCTATGCACTGTCATGGAGACTGCAGGATATCTCAGCTATCATGGCCTATGTACTGTAATGGAGACCGCAGGATATCTCAGCTACCATGCAGGGCCTTTGCACTGTAATGGAGACTGCAGGATATCACGGTATCAAGTTGGCACTCACGGACACTTACCGATTCAGTGAATTAATCCTCAGTTACATTGGGGTAACTTAATTAAATTCGGGAACGTAAAATATATATCGCATGAACCCCTGAATTAGCATCACCGTCACCCGTTACAGTGAGATAGACAAATCCAGTCCTCTTACTCAGGATATCCCGTGGCGTTGCTGGACAACATGAACGGCTGTGAGAAGTCAGTTTGTTGAGGACAGTTTACGGTGGATCTCCAGATGAAGCGTTTATCTCTCACGTTGACGTCAACTGAGTCCTCATCAACATCGACGTCATCAATGTCATAGGCTACGACAGCAGGGGTGAACAGGAAAACCAGAAGTAGAACCTAAAGTACAGGTTAATGAACAATTATACGTCACATGTTAAGGGATCTCACATTGATGTCAACCTGTTTAAAGCATTGCCCATTGTACAAATCAATATCATAAGTATGTGTTCATTAATCAGTATGAAATTGTGAAGTAAAAAGCATATTAATTGGCTGTGCAGTTTGGCACCATTGGAAGCGCCATAATCCGCTTGTTAGTTAGAATCCCAGCTTTGCCCTGATCATAATCAATGGTCTGTCAGGAACATACACGTGTTTCTGGCAAATTATTAACGCCAATGGCCTTTGTTACTTTTTACTTTCATCCAAAGCGCAGACGTATGATGGTGATAAAATTGGAATACTGTTCAAACTTTTTGAACACTCACTCACTCACTCACTCACTCACTCACTCACTCACTCACTCACTCACTCACTCACTCACTCACCCACCCACCCACTCACTCACTCACTCACTCACTCACTCACTCACTCACTCACTCACTCACTCAATCACTCACTCACTCACTCACTCTATGTACTCTGAACAAACGGAACGCCGTGATATAACTGGAATATTGTTAAAAGCGGCGTTAAACCCAACTCTCTCACTCACTCACTCACTCACTGAACAAACGGAGATGACGCCGAAATGATTATTTTGAGGTTATCCTTAAGTAATGCCTGTCAGTTGTCAAAACCATTACGCATTCCTTTCCACTCGCCCCGTGACCTATACGAACTACGGCACCTTATCGATATATGCGATAACATAACAATCGGGTCTGTTATCAAAGTGCTCAGATCTAATCTTGTGTGGTACATTGTGGCGAATCCAGTCAACCGGTATGTGTGAACGTGTTAAAGTCTGAACTGGACCAAATGACCTCCTCGTCCTTGAACCGTACGTTAAACCAGAATGGCGACTGGACTGTCTGAGGTCGTATCTACAGCGGTTCTGAGAGTTGTCGTGCTTAATCAATATATAAGTGGTCTATGAGTTCAATACAAGCACAGCGGCGCATCATTCATTAGTTATGAATATTATATTCATGTGCCACCCTTACACGAGCGATATCATGTCATCAACGTTGATTTAGATGATGTGAAAAAAAAATAATGTGAAATAAATGAACATTTACATTCCGTTAAAAAAACCATTTTTATTACAATTCGTATATTTAAAAACGTATATTTCTCGCTTTCACTCCAGGGATATATTTGAAATACACTCTTTGTAAAACATACCGTTTAGCGATGGTTAAATTTTAACCCTGAACGCATTACAATTCTCCTAGAATTATCAGTTTACCTGAGAGTGAGTGAGTGAGTTGGGTTTAACGCCACTTTTAACAGTATTTCAGTTATATCGCGGCGTGTCAGCTTAATGTGGGAGGAAAGCCCGAAGTGATGCAGGTCTCGGACGTTTACCACTTCGGTGAAACCCACGAGCACGGCTATGGTGCCGACAAACCTTGAAACATAATTGGGGCGACCCGGGATTCCAACCCACAATCATAGGTTTCTAGCGTGCCCAAGGGACGCAACTCTACACATCGAATCGCGGTGCCTTAGACGACTGGGCCACCCGTGCCCCCAGTTTTCCTGAGAAAAAACATAAGGTCGTAACGGAACCAATAGAATAGGAGCAAGGGTCCATTGGGAGCTCGAGCAGTTCATACATTCGATGTCGGATACTGATTTAATTTCTTAAATGGCACATACATTTAAACGACACACCCTTCTAAAACATAATTGTAAAAGTGTTTACATCCTCCCAAAAATATTTCCAAACACAGAAATCATAGTACAATGCAAAATGTTATCAATACATAGCACGGCAAAAGTTCTGGCTGTGACACCAACCTTCCATGTATGGTATGAAATCTAAATGGTACGATCTTTGGCACCTCTTTGCTTTAGGCCCACGTAATCTGATTTCTAAACTAAACCATCCCAGATGATCTATAAACGCATGAGTAAATCTTATCCCAGATGATCTAAAGCATGAGTTCACTGAGGCGTATGATACAGTGGAAGAGGCCACATGCGACTATTTAACGAAATGCACTACTCAGTTTAAGCAGCCTAAGTTGTAAACTGAAATACATATTGAAAAAAAGGACCACACCGGTGCCCCAACTCTATGACGAGAATTAAGATTTTTTATTTCCTTCCTTATTTAATAGAGAGGGATTTAAATTTTGTTGTTGTATAAATCCGCACTGAGCAATATTCCAGCGATATCGGTCTGTAAATAATCGAGTATGGACCAGACAATCCAGTGATTGACATCATGAGTATCGATCCACGCAATTGGGAAACGATGACATGCATCAACCAGGTCAGCGAGCCTGACCACCCGATCCCGTTAGTTGCCCCTTACGACAAGCATAGTCTCTTTTTACTGCAGGCATGGGTTGCTGATGAGATTTTCAAATGAAACAGTATAAATGTATGACTTTGAAAAGGTTGATGCAAATGCTGTTAATGATCGGTGGCTGTATGTGTCACCACGTTATACCTTGGAGAGTGATGCTGTTCATCACTGTCGGATGGCAAACTGACAGGCGCCCCTCTTCCGCCCACCCACCACCACGACCACCACACAACTGAAGTCGTTCGGATTTTTATCCGACATCGAACTTTTAAACTGCTCAATACTCTCTGCTGGCTGTTAAGTCCCCCTGTGAAGATCCCGGTTTGAATTGAACGATACGCGACGTACATGTACCATATTACAACAGATGAATCCAAAGCAGACGTTTATTTCAAATACGAAAACAACGGTTAGATACTATCAGCGCACATTCAATAAAATTCAGTCCTGATATAAAAGGGCACCATCCTAACCCTCAAAGATGAATGTTTTTTTCTCGATGCCTCTGTACCTTAAAATCTTGCATCATATATCAAATTAGTATCATAAATAATAGCATTTAAGAGGTGATAGCCTATCCTAGAGATATTGCTATCGTGTGGCTGGATTTCTGGTCAATCACTTGATTGTCTGGTTTGTTTACCATTATTTCGCATTTTATGCCGAATGAAATTTCATGGGACTATTCTCTGACTGGTTATTCTCTGGCGTTGACGTTTTATTTTATTTTTTCAAACGTGTATCATGCTTAGATAATTTATAAAATACAGATATATTGTAAACATTTGCAAAATCCTTGTGAAATCATAAAGAAATGATCGATTAGTTATGCACCATAAAGAAATGAGATTAGTTTAACGCCACTTTGAATCCTATTTCCGTCATATCATTGCGTGTCAGCTTGATGAAGGATGAAAGACTAAAATGATACAGATCTTTGGCGTTTACCAGTTTGGTAAAACCAACGAGCACGGATGCAGAGCTAAAAATCTAAGGATATGGGATTCGAACCCATGATCAAAGTAGTCTGACATGCTCAATATACGACTAGGCCAACCGAACGTAAAGAATGCTGTGGTATAACTTACCTGAAGTTTCATGATGTTTGACCGCTGATCGCTCATGTCTTACACAGAACACAGAAGCGATGGTCCTTATATAGAGACGCAGGGGAGGGTGTGAGATGACACCTGCTCCCAGCGTACCTGTTTTTGACCATGCGTTTAGTCGAGCATGCACGTGCATCCTGTTCCCTAGCATGACGTCGCCACGTCTACCCGGACAGAGCATTATCAAAAGGACAATTTGCTGACTAATAATGACTTTTTTATGCACGTTTCTGTGTTTATGGCGAGAATGTCAAGCTGCGGTTTGCATTGTCACTTTCAAGTTAATGGTTAACCAGTCACGGTTGTGTTTCAAAGCTTTTCATTGTGAAATAGCATCATGTAGAGTGTGAAAAGATGTCTCGTATATATTCTTTGCAACGTGTAGATTTGAACAGATCAAATGATACGGCATGTCTTAAAAGTTTATGATTTTAAAAGGATTTTCAAAATGAAATATCATACAGCTGAAAGGCTATTTCGTAAGTACATTGGGTAAGTGAATTCGACAAATTCGGTGGTAGTGTCATGGAGTATGTGTGTGTGTGTGTGTGTGTGTGTGTGTGTGTGTGTGTGTGTGTGTGTGTGAATGAAAGGATCCATAGAGCCGAGTTAGACTTTTTAGAGTGAATGAGTGATTAGTGTTTGAACTTTATTTCACTTACAGTCCAATCAGTTTGTATTACATGTATTTTATATGATGGGTTTATGGAACGTAAAATGCAAAACTAGATTTGTGGGATTTGTATTGGAAAAAATATAACCGGAGGCCTGACAAAGAGTACATTGAATAATTAAACGTTGCTTGAATACATGTATATATATTTAAAAAAACTGGACAGTCCAAATATTTGTGCTTGTCAATACTCCTTTATGCACACTAGATCTTTCGCCGCCCAACGGCTCGCAGGTTTAACGAAAACGTCAACGTCGTCATAATGCATATTACGTGACAGTTAGAGACGTGTATAGTTCTTTTGAATTAAGTTTAGGTTTCAAAAGTCTAATGAACATCTTTTATTTTTCCAGCGACTTCAACAACTCCAGATCGATATCCTTGTAACTGTAGATAGCTTTTTTAATTCTTCTGATCTTAGGTTTCTTGTGTCACACACTTTTTGCCATTGGATATGGAATATTAACCCTAGTGTGCCGCGGATGAAATAAATTGAATTGTAGGTATTGATGCGTGTAGTAAATATCCGTTTTCAGTAGGTGTCCTTGCTTTATAATTTTCACGTCCAAAAATGAAATCTTACTATGGTCCCATTCCATAGTTAATGAAATCTAAGGATGGATCGAATCAAGAATCTTCCGGAAATTGTCTAACTGTCCACTGTTGAAAACCGAATAAGAAAACATTCGTCCAGAAATATTCTCCATGTTTCCTGAATATGCGTAGCTGTATTTTCATACATCGAATATACCACGCCCCTAAGTGCAGGTACTATATTGAAACCTACCACCCTAGTGTACAGTACACACTCCAGTGTTGAGGTCCCATATTGAGGCCCACCACCCTAGTGTACAGTACACACTCCAGTGTTGAGGTCCCATATTGAGGCCAACCACCCTAGTGTAAAGTACACATCCCTATGTACAGGTCCTATATTGGTGCTCACTACCCTAGTGTACAGTACACACTCCAATGTACAGGTCATATATTCAAGCCCACCACCCTAGTGTAAAAATACACACCCCAATTTACAGGTCCTATATAAGTACCAACAACCCTAGTGTACAGTACACACCCAAGTGTGTAGGTCCTATATTGAAGCCCATCACCCTAGTGTACAGTACACACTCCAGTGTGCAGGTCCTATATTGAAGCCATCACCCTAATGTACAGTACACACCCCAGTGTGCAGGTCCTATATTGGAGCCCACCACCCTAGTGTACAGTACATCCCCCAGTGTGCATGGCCCATGTTGAGGCCTTCAATCCTAGTGTACAGAACACCCCCTATGTGCAGGTCCTATATTGAAACCTACCACCTTAGTGTACAGTACACATTCCAGTGTTGAGTTCCCATTCTGAAGCCCACCACCCTAGTGTACAGTACACAACCCTATGTGCAAGTCATATATTGAAACCCACCACCCTAGTCTACAGTACACACTCAAGTAATGAGATCCCATACTGAAGCCCACCACCCTAGTGTACAGTACAGACCCCAATGTGCAGGTCCTTTATTGAAGCCCAGCACCCTAGTGTACAGTACACACCCCTATGTGCAGATGCTATATTGAAACCTCCCAACCTAGTGTACATAACACACCCCTATGTGTAGGTCCTATATTGAAACCAACCACCCTAGTGTACAGCACACACTCCAGTGTTGAGGTCCCATATTGAGGCCCACCACCCTAGTGTACAGAACACCCCCCAGTGTGCAGGTCGTACATTGGTGCCCACTTCCCCTAGTGTACAGTACACACTCCAGTGTAAGGTTCTACACTGAAGCCCACCACCCTAGTGTACAGTTCACCCCCCAGTGTGCAGGTCCTATATTGAAGCCCACCACCCTAGTGTACAGTGCACACTCCAGTGTTGAGGTCCCATACTGAAGCCCACCACCCTAGTGTACAGTACAGACCCCTATGTGCAGGTCCTATACTGGAGTCTACCACCCTAGTGAACAGTGCAGACTCCTATGTGCAGGTCCTATATTGAAGCCTACCACCCTAGTGAACATTTCTGACCCCTATGTGCAGGTCCTAATGCAAGCGCACCACCCTAGTGAACAGTGCGGACTCCTATGTGCAGGTCCTGTACTAAAACTCACCACCCTTGTTTGCAGTAAACACGTCTGCGTGCATGTCAAATCTTTGTCCAACCCCTTGTACTTCAAAATATTTCAATAGTGTCTAACCACACAGCCAATATTGATATTCAGAAAGTTGATAAATTTATCTTTTCAAGAAAGCAGATTAATAAATATGAAAATTTAGATTTCATAATTTCCGTTTGGTCTGGTGACATACCATTATTCAGATACGTGGGTTCAACTGTCAGAACGTGAGTTTTCTGAAGTTTGTTTTGCTGAACATGTTACACAGACAAAATAAAAAGTAATTCTGGATCCAATATGGAAACATTGTGACTTCAGAACTTTCATAATGATGTTATCGGTGACTCAGTCGGTATGGGCAGCGACTGAATTGGCAGCGAGTTGCATACAAATGTGGACCTGTGGTCTTTGGTGCAGTGTCCCTTCCTTTACTTACAATACATAATGTGTGCACTTATATTGCGCTTGCCTCCATACGCTCAGCGCATGCTCAAAGCGCTCATCATCTCATCCTTCTGGGCATCCTTTTGTATGGCTGGGTGAACAGAGGGGTATATCCTACTCATTATCGCATAGGGAGTCACCACATATGCTTCATGTGCTGCAGGGGCCAGGGGGCAGTCGTCTCAGGCGCCGCGATTCGCTGCGCAGAGTAGCGTCCCTTGGGCACGCGAGAAAACTATGATTGTGGGTTCGAACCCGGTTCGCCCCGATTATGTTTCAGGGTTTGTCAGCACCATGCCCGTGCTCGTGGGTTTCACCGAAGTGGTAAACGTCTGAGACCTGCATCACTTCGGGCTTTCCTACCACATTAAGCTGACACACCGTGATATAACTGGAATACTGTTAAAAGCGGCGTTAAACCAAACTCACACACACACGCTCTTGTGCTGCAGATTGGGGCAGGACCAAAGCCCCAGAAACGCTCCCGTTATGCTGCAGAACGTGGTCACTAATGCATCTGCATTCCGCGACCGACATTTCTTAACTTCGCCTCATTGTACACTGTACACAGGACCACATGCCACCATGTGTGTCAGGATCCGCTGAGTATAGGTTAAAATCTACATATGACTGACATCTCGCAACATCCTATCTGTTCTCGTTATGTTTATCAAAGGGGTAAGACCTGCTGATGACATCTAGTGATGCAACTGCTTTCATTTGTGTGTTTGTCTCCCATTACTGAAATGAGTTCCAAACGCATCTTCAAGGGATCCTGACAGTGCTAAGGGACTTAACTCAGCACTGTAAACGGCTAGGCATTTATAACTACAGTATCCGACTTCCATGCTATGGTCAAGACGTGAGATTGTCACATTACCTCATAGAATCACCATTTTAGGGCGATAGTTCAGTGTTGAAATATTTTCAATATTGTACATTGTCATGATCTTGACTTCGTGATCATGTTAAACATGGTACGTTTTTTTTCTAAAATATATATCTTAACTCTTTTTACACAATGTTAGTTCCCGTGAGTACACTGTAAACATAAAACGTCAACGACAGAGTATGACCAGTCTCGATTATCCACCGAAACAGATTCCACTGGGCGTAAAAGGCAAAAGAACGGTGAATATTGTATGAAAATCAATGATGTCATCAGGTGTTAGTGAAAAGGGGAAGCGTGTCCTACTGGTAGCACCCGCCACTCACACAATTTGCATAAAAAGTAAATAAAGAATTACATCGCATCGGCGATATTATAGCCATGTAGCGATGGAATTAAGGTAGTCGTTTTAAGATATCTGTCCACAAAGGACAGTGAAACAGTGAGGTGTATCACGGTTTCAGAATAAAATAAACTATATCAAAACTTTAAAAAAAACACACATAGGAATCATGGAATCATGGGGAAAGTAGAATTCGAGATTTCGGCTTGTCACACCATTTTTAAAACATGATTAGTTATGTCAAGTTATGTCATTTTAATATTGGAGTTAAGGCCGCTTGGTTTGTCAGCACCTCAGGTCTGACGCTGTGCTTCAGAGGCATAGCACGGTGTGTCAGATTAATGCTGAATCTATCAGACACCCGCTGATACCCGTTACATGGAGAACATTGAGAACACTGACAACCTGTTCAACTGGCAGGCATCTAACATTTAAATTGCCCCAACGAAGCAACAATATCAACATCAAATGGTAGCTGGTGGTTGAAGCCTCAGATAGTGACACGGGTATACAAGGCTCGGGTACAATGAGAGAGGATAATTTTGAAGGCCACGAAATGACGGAAATATTACTCAAAGCGGCGTTAAATGGAGCTCAGTAGTCAGTAAGTCAGTTAGTCCCCCACCCCCACCCTCCCA